AGCTGAAAAACACATATTTGATAGAGGACTTGGATCTAGGATATATAAAGGACATTTATTAACTCAATTATAAAAAGAGAAACAACTCAAAAATGATCAAAGGATTTGAACAGATACCACTGAAGGAGAGATATGGAAGGCAAATAGCATATGAAAATATGTTCGATATTATTAATCATTAGGGAAATGAAAATTAAAATTACATGAGATACCACTACATGCCTATTAGAGTAGGCAAAATAATAATAATAATAATAATAATATGCACAGTGCTATTGAGGAAGTGGAAAAACTGGAACTTTCATACATTGCTTTTAGGAATGCAAAATGGTAAGCCACTGTGGAAAACAGTTTAGCAGTTTCTTATAATGCTAAACACGCAGTTACCATATGAACCAGCAATCCCACTCCCAAGTATTTATCTAAGAAAAATGAAAACATATGTCTACAAAAAGATTTGCATGTAAATGTTTATAGCAGCTTTATCCATAATACTCCCAAATTAGATCATCTTAATGTTCATTACCTGGTGAATGGATAGCATCCATACAGTGAAATACCACTTAGCAATAAAAAGGAGTGGACGATTGAAATATACAACATCATAGATGAATCTCAAAAGCGGTTTGCTCTGTGAAGGAAACTAGACACAAATAGCTATATAACGTACAATTCCATTTGCAGTGCATTTCAGAAAAGAAAAGACTATAGGGACAGAAATTCAGATATGAGGTAGGAGGAGACTGACACAAAGGGGCACCAAGAAACTTTTGGTGGTAATGGAAATTCTCTGTATTTCAATTGTGTTGATGGTTATGTGACTGTGTATGTTTGTGAAAACGCATTGAACTGTACATCTAAAAGAGGTGAATTTCGTTATATGTGAATTGTACTTCAATAGAGCTGACTTAAAAAAAAATAGTCAAATAACCAACTGGAGAAGTATATTTGCAACACATGGAAAGCATAAAACAAAAAATACACAAAGAACTCCTAAAAATAAATTTATTTTTATTTTATTTATTTTTTTATTCTATAGAGTAAGAATAGAATCTATAGTCATAGCTAAAAGATAATTACAAAAGAATAAACTTGAGTGGATCCAGGTTATACAGTGGTAAATGGTGGAGTCAGGATTCAAACACATTCAACCTGAATCCAAGGGCCATGATTCTAATTACTATGCTAAAATTGATATTACACATACCTAGTAATTTTACCTCTAAATGTATACCTGACAGAAACCATAGATATGGGCATAAGCGCAACTATGTTCCTTGTCACATGATTTGTGATAGTGAGAAATCAAAAATAGTAAGGAAACAGATAAATGCAATGTGGTATTTTTGTATGCTGGAATTCTATAAAGTAGTAATAAGGAAGAAACTAGATCTTTATACCATAATAAAGTAGTTATTTGCACAACTCTGACAATGGTGTTATTATCTGGGTTCAAATCCCATCTCTGCTACTTACTACTTGAGTGACCCTGGGCTAGTACTCAACCTATTAGTGTCTCAGCTTTGTCATCTATAAAATAAGAATAATAACAGCATGTCCTGAGTAGGATAATTATGAAGATTAAATGAGCTAATATTTGTAATAAAGTGCTTAGAACAGTGCCTGGCACTTAAAAAAGCTACCGAAATAATGATAAAAAAATACACAAATGTATAAATATCAACATAGATATATTTTTAACACAATTTTTAACATCAAAAGAAAATTATAAATATATGTGCAAAAAGATTGCATTCTTATAACTTAAAACAATAACAAAACAATAAACTGTATAAACCTATAAATATGTGTAAAGAAAATTCCCTGGAAGGCTACTTAAAACTGAATGCGCTACTATGAAGGCTTTGGAAAGATAGGAAGGAGAATTAGACTGAGGTTGGCCTACAAAGGGGTTGTTATCTGTAATGTTTTATTTCTTTAATTGAGAGAGAGAGAGAGATGAAACAAATATGATAAAATGGTAACAATTGTAAGTTTAGGCATTCCAGAAAACTACTTTAGCGTTTGCTTTATTACTCTATGTAGTTTTCTTTATTTTTTCCATTTTTGAAATGAATTGGGCAAATGCAAGTGTAGGATCAGAGTGGTCGGTAAGTAGAGTCCTTTAGAAATCAGCTACACTGGCCTTTTCATTTAAAATAAAATTTATGGATGATGAGGTTCTGAAGACGTAAAGTGGGGTGGTTTGAAGCAGGGAAAAGCTGCAGGGATACTAGAGGAATGTCAGTGCCCAGAAGAATCTCTAACAATGGGTAGACGACCTCTGGGGAGGAGCAGCCCAGGGCTGACTTGCATGGGTGCCCAGGAGAGAGGCCAGAGCAGAGGAGTTGAGTGGTTTTCCTCAAGTCCTTTACCCAGAAATGGGTCTTTCAGCTCATGTTTAGAAACACTGTTTAACAGACAGATCCCCCCTGGGTGAGAGAATTTGTAAGGTAAAATCTTTTGTGAAGGATAGCTGTTAGGAAGAAGGAGCTTTGGAGATGGGGCAACCAAAGGATCTTGAAGGTCTAGAGGAGGCAGTTTTGAGGATATTAAAAAAAGAGAACAGGAAGGAAAAAAAGGTCCAGCCTGGAGCATATGAATGTCTACTATTTTGACTACTGCCTAAAATATTTGCCTAATTTGACGGGTATTCAAATATCTTTGCAAACATTGCAAAAGGAGATTGTCAACTTGAAGACTGAGCTACATTTGATGTGGTGTCCTGGAAAAGCAATCACTACTCAAGGAATTCAGATCATAAGCTACTCGTGGTTAGTGGGTCCTCAAATGTAGTAGTGTGAGTATTTCTCACTTCTAAAATAAAAAAAAAAATTTTCCCAAATCACATTTTCCTCTGACATATCCAGAGAGTGATTTTTTTTCCCTTAAACAGTTTGCCTGTGTGTATAGAGCACACAGAGTATTTTATTAGTTCCAGGATCCACTTCTGAACTATTAAAGCGACTCTAGTTTTGTTGTGCTTTTTCTTCCTTTCAGAGGGACACGTTTCTTAGCACTGATGAGTTATTCATTAGCATTTGTACAAAGTGCACCAATGACTCTAATGAAAAGCGTTCACCTCATTAGGAATGGGCCGGAGGAGTGTTAATTGGAATTGACTTGTTCCTGAGTTATTTTAATATTAATTCCCAGACATAGGGAGCTGGCCTGGAAAAGCCAGAACTTCTGGATATGAGAAAGTCTTTTTTTTTTTTTTAGCAGAATCAACTTCTAACAGGAAGAGAGAAACATTATCCATTCTAAAGGAGTTAAAGGCTCCTTAAAGGCATTATAAGAAGTCCCATGGGTTGGGGATGGCACATACTTCTTCAGTAAATTTAATAGGTGTCCATTCACGAAGCAAAGCTTACTTTATTCCAGTGAAACAGAGAGATGGTTTAAGTATTGCACAAGGGCATTTCGTGTTATGCATGCCACACTTTGGCTTCTGCATGGGAGAGATAATCATAAAACAAAGTAACTAAGTGCTCTGAAGCAGCGTGCTTTGAAATGTAGCAAGTTAATTTTCAGGTAGTTAAGGAGCTCTGTTTTCAATGACAATTGTGAATGCCATTTCCCTTAGTTATGCCAAATAAAATGTCATATTCCAAAGAAGACAAATGAGCACAACCAGATAGGAAGAAGCCCTTTGTCGACGTCGTCTTTTCTCTATTAATCTAAGTATAGATTATCCAGGTTCTTTTCTCTTTTTTGGGCTATTAAGTAGAATATACTTTAAATGTATAAAGACCAGTGATGCATGGAATTCTACTCTTGAACACTATTCAATACAAATATTCTTAGGAGAGGTAAATAAGGCTTTATTAGGCTTTTATATCTTAGTATAAATAAGCTTAATAGATTCCTTTCTGAGACAAGTTAAAATTGAATTTGCTTTTCTCTCTGCAGAGTATTTGAATCTTGACTCTGTATAAGAAGACCAAGGTTCAAGCTTCAATTTTACTTCTATCTTACTGAGCAATTAGGAGGAATTTATTGAACCTCTCCGAAACATAATTTTTCTGTGTGGGTTGACCAGAGGATTTTAAAGACCCATGTAGCTCTAATTCAAGTTAGTTGCTTCAAAAATGTTCACCTCCCCAAAATATTATTTTAGGTATAAATTAATTGCAGCTAAGAATCTGACCTTCCATCAAAAAACAAAATTAAGCAAAAAATTATGAGTCGATTTAGAGCATAAGCAGAGAATAATGCCTACTGCAAGACAGGCTCATCAGAAAATACATGGAGAAACTCAATTCTAGCAAACACTTCTATGTAAAGTCCCACTCAAAGGGTTTTATTTATTGTTTCCTAAATGAATACCCTCTAAGGAAGCCTTTTAGGCTCCCATTCCCTTTAAGGAAGCCCTTTGGCTTGAACACCCAAGACGATGTCTGTACACCTTAATTCTGATCACGGGCTCAAGACGTGAGAAAGCCAAACACATCACAGAAAAGGCAAGCTGAGTGCTTTGCCAATGAATTCACAGTTTAATTAAGCTAAATTCATGCATATCAGAAATTACATGGATTAATTCAAATAGAAAAAGAGTAAAAGTTTCAACTGATAGATTGTTGACTACTGAATACCGTATTTGGAGAAATCCTTTCTAATATGCTTGTGGAAAAAAGGACAAACTATTTTGAATAGTAACCACTGATGCTCCTGATAACTTAGAGGAAGTGAAGAAAAAGTTTATGTAATTCCATAGGTAGGACAAGGACTCATTGTATACACGAATAATAAGGGGGAGAATATTTGTAAATGTGATGACCTATACCTTTGAAAGTCAAACCATAAAGAATTCCTTGGGAAAGAAACTGAGTAGCTTCTTCTTAAGTGTATCAGAGTGATTAAAGTACAATTAAGTATTTTGAAGTTGTGATAAATTAAACTTAAGCAATAACCTAGAGAGGTATTCTCGTAAATGGTGAACAAGAGGAGGGATCATCTAGTTAGTGACACATCGAGGTCTAGGAGTATATATAACTTGGAGTCCTGACTGACATAGAAACTCAGAGAATCTTCTCACTGTAACTCAGCTGAAACTCACATCTCCTGTCAACATGTCCTACAACTGCTGCTCTGGAAAATTCTCCTCCTGCTCCCTTGGGGGCTACCTGCGCTACCCACGCTCCTCCTGTGGCTCTTCCTACCCCAGCAAGCTGATCTACCGCACTGACCTCTGCTCTCCCAGCACCTGCCAGCTGGGCTCCTCTCTCTACAGGAACTGTCAGAGGACCTGCTGGGAGCCCACCAGATACCAGACACCCTGTGTTGTGTCCAGGCCCTGCCAGACATCCTCCTACGGCCTGAGGACCTCCACACTCCGCAGTCCCTGCTGGACAACTTATGCTGGATCCCTGGGCTTTGGATCCAGAAGCTGCTACTCACTGGGCTGTGGATCCAGTGTCTTCAAACCCCTGGGTTACAGAGTCTGTGGCTTTCCCGCCCTGGGCTATGGATCCAGATTCTGCTGCCCAACCTACTTCCCTTCTAGGAGCTGCCAGTTTTCTTGTTATAGGCCAACATTTAGATCAGCCTTCTGTAGATCAACATGCTGAGTTTCCAGACCTTTTGAGCAAAATGTTTCAGTCTCTGCTTAGAGCTACTATCATAGAGTTTTTCAGCAATGTTAGCTAACCTCTCTCACCACCAACTTTTCACCACTTCTCTGGCATCAAGCACTGGCTTATAGACTAGTTCTTTCAGACAGTGAAATTATTGAATGACCAAATATAGAGTCCAGTGTCTATAATTTTGAACCATTTGATTTAGAATTGCATAAATTCTTCTTACAAAATGTGTGGAAGTTCAGTTTTGCTTGACCTAATAAACTTATGCACTTTTGCATCTGATACCTTCTCATTGTTCTTTATTGGTTCTCGGAGTTTGATTTGTGATCTATCTTTGAGGCTCCAGGCTCTTGGAGTACTTTCCCTAGGAAATGGGTTTGGATTTCCAGAGGAAATCCATTTCCCTAGGAGATGGCATCCAGCCTGGTGTGTAGGGAAATTCTCTGGGTACTTCCACTGCCCAGACACGTGTATGTATGTCTTCCACCATCAAAGCTGGTAGGATATTTAACACTATTATTGAGAATAAGCCCATAATGGAGTCAATAATCTCATTGTGTTTTCCATGGGGACACGTTATGCTGACAATCATGTTGGGTTTTGAGTTTACATTTTCAAAACAATATTGAATTAGAGTTTGTCCAGAAAATGTTAACTAGGTGAAACAATATTAATAAAATCTATTGTATAAAATATTTGAATAAATCTAACATATTGGCATGAAAAAGAGAAAATACTGTGTCAGAGGTTGGAGGGCATTATGTTATCTTTGAATATATAGGAAAATGGATTGTTCAATGTGAGTGTGTGTGTTTGTGTGTGGGGGAGAGACACAGAGAGAGAGATACAGACAAAGTCTTAAAGTTTAAAACTGTGAGGAATGGAAACAGTTATAGGAAGAAAAATATTGGCTTGTTATAAAGAAATATATATTTGTGAATTATAAATTTATAGAAATATTATGACCTGGGTAAATTTCTTTGAAGTTATTGAGTTCCTTGACAAGCAGAAGATGAATAATACCTTTTTTGTAGTGACTTCTGCATTGAATTGGAAATAAGATTAGATTACTTTCAGTGTTCTGAATCTTATATTCTTATAGGATATTATTCATATCTGAGACAGGACACACTTTATGTTTATTTTTAATTTGAGCAAGTTATTTGTCTCAGAGACTAAATGTAGTGTCAGAATTTAGTTAAAATTTTCCATAACATACTTAGTAGTAACTCTCTATGAGTGAGAGAATAACTATCAAAGATTATCATTTACTCCAATCATGTGCTATGAGTGTTTATTGATTTGTCTTCCCTGACGCCTTTTCCTCAAGCTTTTTATAAATAAATCTGAGAAAAGAGATTTTCTTTTCTCTTATGCTCAAGACAATAATGGGCTAAGCATGGAGGTGTGGGAACCTGGTCCTCTGTGCACAGAAACCTGCCCAAGAGACAGAAAATAGAAGAATGGAGAAGAGAGACATAGAAGTTCCTGGTGATACGGGAGCCTCTGGTTCCCGTCATCCCTTAAGCCAGCTTTACAAGACCTTCATGCGCTTTGATTATACGAGCCAATAAAGTCTTCTCTTTGTTTAAAATAATTAAAATAAAATATCTGTCACTCATGTCCAAAGAGGTATAATTAATGCAAATGTGTACTCTAGGTGCAGAGTTACTCATTGACTTTGGCATAAATAGGCATTTAAATTTCTTATTAGTAAGACAAAAGGATCCTGTGAGTCTGAATTATTGCTGTTAGCATTGAGGGTAGACTACTAATTCATCTGAAAATAATGTTGAATGAATAAAATGTAAAGAAACCAGCGGGAAAATGAACTCAAAGGAGTCATGGCAGCATGGCCAGTGAGAAAGTCCTGGGAATGCATTCAGCAAACCTAATAGAACTAGAAGCTTCTAACCTCAAGTAAGGAAGGCACCAGGTCCTACAAGGAATGATGAGTAGAGAGAACTGTTTAAAAAAGGGAACAATCCCAAGATGGAAGGAAGGGGTATCCAGTGACATGAAGAATCTATTTCTGGAATGACTTGGAGAATTTCCCCCATTCTAATGGAATCTTTGAGATGAGAGGACAAAAACTGAAACAAAGAGGCAAAGGGTATGACAGGAAATGAATACATTAGAATACTTACGATATTTATACTCTTACAAGTATAACTTGAAGATTCTGATTTCAGGGATCAGACAAGAGAAATACCCTTTACATCTTTCATTCTCTGCAGAGTAATCTTTTCTAAGTATCTCATCACTGCTAATTTCCAACTATTTTTCCATTTTTCTTCTCTCACCTCTCTTTGCTTTTATTTATTCTTTCCTTGTCTCTGTCTCTCTCTCTCTCTCTCTGACTTTTCACCTCCACTGTACACTCTGTTCTCCTTTACATCCACCCTCTAGTGTCCTGTTGAGTTTGGGCACCAGGTAACATCGGGTTGATGACTGAGTTGGATGATTAAGAAAAAGCTAAGAGTGATGTGGGCCACTTGCCTCTCAAGCTCTGTCAGTCTGCTCATTCATAACTACCTCAACTCTAATGCCCTTAATACACGAAATGACATCAACTCTTTGTTCTGAATTCAGCTCAGTAAATATGTTTTGAGCTTTAACTTTGCACTAGAGTTCTTTGGTGAAAAATGCTGGGACCTTAGAAATGAACAAAACCTTTGCCATTAAAGAATTAGTTCACATCTAGTGAGAGCCTCAAATTTTCTCCCATTACCTCTGTGTGAAGGGTGGGTGTGAAGGGCACTTCAGGAAGAGGTAACTGCGTTAAGTAAGGGTACAATTGCTTGGAAGACTATGGTGTGGAGTTTGGGGAGGAAAACCAAGATCTTTTTTATTAAACTATGATATCTAGGCAGCAAGAGGTAAGAGATTACATAATAATTAAATAAAATTATAATTAAAAGTAAGATTGCCCAGCTCTACAGATTCAGAAATAGAGACAGAAACTTGAGATGCTTAAGAAAGCCTGGGCTTTGTGTCTGAGTGACAGGAGGTCAATGGTAAAAACAACCTTCACATTTATTATGCAAGAATGGTTCTTTGGCTCATGTTATTCTTGAGTAGCAAAATTAATGTGTTTATTTGTGTGACTGGGGACTCATTCAGTTGCAATTAACAGTCTGATGAAATACTAACACACAGGGCAGGGTTCAGAGATGCAGACTATAACTTGAGAGGCACTGGAGTCTAAATTAAGGGAATGTGAGTTAACAAGTTCAAAATATTTTGTCCAGCTATTCAACAGGAAGTCATACCTCTTACCATGCTTTACATATTGCGGCTCTGGGAATTCCCCTTATTCTCCCCTTAGGAACCTTCTCATTTCCTAGTGTCCTGCTATGTCTGTTCTGATCCCATCAATTTGGTGGACTGTCGAGTCTCATTCTTCAGAGGACACTCACTGTCAGAGTTGTACAAGTGATTGCCTCCTTAAATGTTGTACCCTAAGCTCCCCACTCGCCTCACCCCAGCCCTGCTCCTGTATTGCATATATCCCTACTCTCTAATTAACCCCTACGTTGACTGTCACATGCACGCCACCCAAGAACGGCTGCCTTCTGCCATCCCCACCAAACTGCTGACATGTTGCCACTTATGGGTTGTGGACCCCATTTCTGCCACTCAACCTACTTTCTTCTGTAAATTTTTAATTGTTTGTATATCTTGCCAAGCAATCTGTATATATGGATTACTCATCAAACTGCTGCATGATCAAATTTTTAGTGCAAAGACAACACAATCTTCTGGTGATGCTGAACCCTCTCTACACAATCAACTATTGTCAAATATAAACATTCCCTTACTGGACTGTGGTCTTTCCCTGGATCAACAGCAGTTGTTCTAAGATAACCCTTATGATAGGATAAACAGCCATCTACTTAGAGAAAGGCAGCCTTTTTCCATTAGCTCTTCTATTAGATTAAGTCACTAAAAAATTCTTAAATCTTAGTAATGTTTCAGTTCAAGGCTTATCCTTTGTAATGAAGTAGATTCTTACAAGCAAGTAGAAAACAAAAGACAAAAATGAGATTGTAGAGGTTTAACTTACTGGCACCAAAATTGTGTACTCTATTATTTTTCATTAATATGTGTGTTCTGGTGTATTTTTTGGCTGCTCTAGGTTTTAAGGAAATATTTCTTGTACTATCTTTGCAGCTACCTGTGAGTCTATAATTATTAAAAAAAAAGATGTAATAAAACTTAACCTTATATTAGGAACATAAGTAGACTATTGATTGATAAGATGTGATGTAAGGTTTATATCTGGAAGAGTCATATAGGCACACTACAGTCTCTCAGTTAAAGTGACAAGACGCAGTTATCACTGATGTACAGAATCTCTTAATCTGCTAAGGGTGGATATGGAAGTCATGAATAAAGTTAAAGGATTAGAAATTGCCCAAAGTTTTTCTTTTCTTCCATGTTCACCACATGTCTATTTTAGAATTTGTAAGATTCCCCATCAATCTCCACTTGGTTTCCTGGTGGAGTCAGTAAAATCCCGCCATTCCAATCCCAAATGACTAAAGCCCTACTTCCCAATGTTTATCTCTTGGAACAGTGGTCTTAAGGGATATTAACAGATTAGATACAAAGTTTACGTTTACGTGAGGAATATTGGACTAACCAAGTTAGTCAGATTTGCTTTCTTCTCCTTTCAGAATTCTTAAATATACTTAAGCATATTGTGAATTTCCAAAAGGGGAAAAGAAGATTATAGTCACCCCCCTCTCTCTTCCCCACTGTGGAGTTGACTGAGACACAGCATGAGTTTTTCCACATTGTTTGGGCCAGATAATATTACAATTTTTATTCAGAATCAGTTTTGATCAAAATCTATACTCCAGGTAATAAGTTATTGCCCTTATTTCAGGGAATTTCTGCCAAGGGATAACACCTAAATTTGTCTTTGATATATACTCTCTTTTTGGTACTTTACCAGCGAAATAATCCCAGTCATGTAATTGAAGAAGCTGTTACCACACTCAAAATCATAAAGAGAAGTGAATAGTGGCTGCTTCTGTGTTTTTAACAGCTTACTTTTCCTGCTAGGCAAATGACCACAGAGGTTAATATCTTGACTATAAAATTGATTCCAGGGGACTTCACTTTCTGTGTCCTATGGATATTGCAAGGTGAAGAGGTGTCATTGATTGCTC